TCTACGCAAACTAGTCTCTCAGTTTTGAAGCTTTCTGAATGAAACTTCGTAGTTATCCTTCTATATACTCTCACTCGTATATATGTATGTATGTCGGAACGGGCCGGATCAGATTACTATATCATAGCTGCCATAGGAATGATCGGAAAAGTTTTACAAACAAATTTTTAACTTTTTCAGTTTTCAATAGAATTGGATCAAATTTGAAATAGACCCATTTTACTATACTCTACATTTTTGCATAAAATTTTATGAAAATCGGACTACTATAACATATAGCTCCCATAGGAACGATCGAGAAATTAATTCAATTAAAAAGTATAACATTTTCAGTTTTCAACAGATTTTCATCAAATTTGATACATAGCCATTTTATAAGAAATAAAAGAAATTAATAAAATTAAAGATTATAACTTCTTCAGTTTTCAACTGATTTTCATCAAATTTAAGGTATAGCCATTTTATATTAGTCTTAAATTTTGTGTCAAATTTCATGAAAATCGGACGACTATATCATTTAGGTGCCATACAAACGATCGGTGGAAAAACGATGTAGAGGAAAAATGCAAATCTGTGAATGTAAAAATGCAAATATAATATGTATAGGTGAATGAAATGAAAGCAGGTATTACTTCATTGTTTTTTTAACACAAATATATATAATTTATATTGTATGGATTCCTATTCATAGAAGTGCTATCTGCAAGGTTATATAAACTTCGGCGTGCCGAAGTTAGCTTCCTTTCTGGTTTTTTTTTCTCATAATAAAAGCTTACATAATTTTATTATATATGTATATATAAAAAAATTTAAATGGTTTTTGTCAATACAAATAAATTCTGTCATTTTTCATTTTGCAAAGAATTAGTTGACAAACTGTATACATATGTATGTACATATGTATGTAAATATGTATGTACATATGTATGTATATACATATGTACATATGTATGTATATTCTTGATCAGGATGAACAGCCGAGTTTTCCGTTTCCGCTAGTCTCTCTGTTTTGAAGCTATTATTAAGAAATTTTGCAGTTAGTCTTTTATATACTCCTACTAGTATATAAGAGGGTGCCGGCAGTAGCTGCAATAGGAACGATCTTAAATTATTTTGAAAACAATTTATAACTTATACAGTTTCAAAAATATGTTCATCTTATTTTAGTAATGACCATATTTTATTACATTAGAATTTCAGTTTTAACTTTTTGAAAATGGATGATTATAATCATAAACATAACATAGCTGCCACAGAAACAAAATGAAATGATATATCTTCAATTGTTATCTTTTTTTTTTACTAAAAAGGGATCTAATCTTTATAGTCCTATTTTAACCTTCCTATTTTAAACTTAGGAATACCGAGGTCAGCATGAACTTATAAAATATTTAAAATATGGTCTTTTGAGTGCCACTAAAGTGATGATACAGCAGACAAATTTAACTAAACTTAAAAAATACCCCTTTATTAAACTTTAATTGGAAAAAATAGAAATGACATGTTGTTTGTTTTAGTTTCCTTAATATTTAAAAAAATATAAATTACAACATTTTCTTTTAGTTTACTTACAAATTACAAAAAACTAAAAAATTCGTAACTTTTTATTCCACAAAAGTCACCGCTATAAAGGTTAGCTTATTAGTTAATTTAACAGTTTAAATTAAATTTAAAATTTTGTGGGGTATCCCTTCATTTTAATCACTTCCTTAAGTCGTCTTGGGATGGATGAAACTAAAGTTTCCAAATATGATTGGTCCATTTTGTTCCACTCCTCTTGTAGCGCTGCCTTTAGGTCAGATTTATTGCGAATTTCGCGACCTATGTACATATGTACATATATCAATTGTTTTTTAATTTGTCAAAAAATAAATTGCTGGATTTTTTCGTTCACCAATTGTTTTCATTAAAGTCGCATTAAGATGCAGTCTCGATCGATTGCTTACAAGTATGTCAGAATCCGATTACCGCTAAGCCAAATTAATCGCGGAACGGCATCCGTTGCAAGATGAAACATGCAAATAATCCGAACGAGGTAAAGATGTGAAGATACCAACTATGTAAGTATGTATGTATGTATTACATGTACACAGCTGCCATAGGAACGATCTGCAAATTGAAAAAAAAAAAACAAGAAAGGAAGCTAACTTCGGCACGCCGAAGTTTATATACCCTTGCAGATAGAATTTCGAAGACTAGGAATCAATACAATATACATAAATTATATACAAACATATATGTATGTATTTATGTTAAAAAAAGAAAGAAGTAATACCTGCTTTCATTTCATTCACCTATTCATATGTATTATATTTACAGTTTTACATTCACAGAATTGCATTATTCCTCTATATCTTACGATCGTTTGTATGGCACCTACCTACATATGTACATATGCACATATGTACGTACATACATATATGTATATGATATATGTATGATATAGTCGTTCGATTTTCATGAAATTTTACACAAAATTTTAGAATAGTATAAACATATTTGATGAAAATCTGTTGAAACTGAGAGTTATTAATTTTAGTTGTATTAATTTCTCGATCGTTCCTATGGGAGCTGTAGGATATAGTAGTCCCATTTTCATAAAATATTACACAAAATTGTAAAGCAATATAAAATAGCTATGTACATATGTATGTACATATATCTCAAATTTGATTAAATTCTGTTGAAAACTGAAAATGTTATAAATTTTTTTTTGTAAAAATTGTCCGATCAGTCCTATGGCAGCTATATGATATAGTCGTCGGATCCAGCCCGTTCCGACTTACTTATATAGGAGTAAAAAAAAAACGAAAAAAATAGCTTTGCATAAGACTTTTATATAAGCGCAAATATCATCAGTCCGTCTATACGTTTCTGCGCGAACTAGTCCCTCAGTTTGAAAGCTATCCGTAAGCCCGAACGGGACATATCGGACTACTATTAGGGGAAAATATAAACTAAAACTGTAAACATAATAAAAAAATACATTACTTCGTTGATATAGTTAAATATAATATATAATATTTATTATGTGCCGTTTGCATGGGGTCGTTGTCATGATGAAATAAATTTTAAAATGTTTTAACAAAACAAGGTTTTTACTAAAATAAAATTAATATTAAATAAATTTTTATCGGAAAATTGTGATTAAAATCAATTCGGAAACATTTAGGTTTCCTAATATTAAATTATCAAGCCACATAAATTAATTTAGTTTAGAAAGAACAAAAAAAAGTTTTAACAAATTTATTTAGTTTTATCAAATTGTTAATGTTCCGAAATTTCCCTGCTAACTTGATGGAAGATATTGGTCTCACGATGAAAAGAAGGGGATATTTCTGATTGCCACAAATCTCATAAATCGCGAAAGCACGATGCACGATTAGCGATGATCGGCACAGATGCATATGCAATTAAATATTCCGAAATAACCTGCTTATAGACTAATTATACTAAGACTTAACATTAACTTTCGTAAGCATGTACAAAATACCGAAAATCGAACATTTTCTTACCATACAAATTATGTACATATGCATGTATTTATAGCCTTGCAGGGTATAATATTTTGGTATAATTCGTGTGGCTATCCATAACCAAAATTGAAATTTAATTGAATAAAACCGGAGATGTTATGTGTGACTATTTATATGATCATATGTGTACGACCATCACTAGTTATCCTACGGAAAAGGTGCCAAATAACAACTGGAATTCCCGCAGATCTTATCGGCTAGCTCGATTTTATTCTTGATGCCTCTCGAATTGGTATGTACAAATGTGTATTTGTCACACATTTACATCGCAGTACGCTTCTATGTACACATGTGTATGTACACAACTGATTTAATTTGAGCTATGGACCGCGCGTATTGATAAGTCCCATCAAATCGGACAGTGATTGATAAATGCGAGAGCGTTTTTAAAGCTTATTTTTCAAATGACCAACTGGGAGGCAACAACGAGCAAACAAGAACAGTCACAACAGCGGGAAACAAAGTTCATTGCAGGCAGTTGCAAATTTAATTCTGTGTGCGTGTGTGTCATCCGCCTCTGTTTGTGTTTGTTCGCATTGTTAAATGTCCGCATCAGCGTTAGCAGAAGCATCAACACGAGATGAGAAAAGAGAGCGCAGAGAGCTCGGCAGCCGACCATTGTTAACGGTAGTGAGCGAGCAAGTCTCTGCAGCCTCTCTTCCTCGCCACCACCAGACAATTGTTAGCCTTGCTTGCTACCAAAATCCTACCTAACATCCAACCCTTGTGAGCTGTTTTGTCGCGTTCAGCTGTTGCTTCACTTCCAATTGTTGCTCCGCCTCGCCCTCTGCTTGGCCATGTCGTGAATGCTGCCAAGAGTGGGCTTTATCTGCGCTGCTGCTTGGGAGCTTGAAGCGAGTGAATAATCAAAGATAGTGCTCACACGTACTTGCCACAACATTGTTATCAGTATTACTCACTTGCTACTTGCTTGAGTGGCGATAAGCGAGGAGTTCTCTCCAATAGCGCTTACTCTGTGGCAGCAGCTCAGCAGCGCAGCAGCCATAGCAATTGTTTACAATTGTTTCAGCGAAGGCGGAATGGCATCGCATCCTCTCTTTTTTATACCATACTCATACTTTCATACTCTCTGGGCACGCGGTGGAAGGCGAGAGCAAAGCTGCCGCTGTTACTCTCTGCCGCTCTGCCGACTCTGGCGACTGACTCTCTTGCGAGCGGCGGCTGCTGCGCGCTGCCAATTTGCAAGAAAATTAAGTTCGTTTACAATTGTGAAAATCGACGAGGAGAACAACGGCGCACTGCTCTCCGCCAGGAAGCTGCCAATGGGCCAATGGAGGTGACAAGTGGCAACTGAAGTACCAAAATGTTAATAACGCGGCAAACGTGCGATTAGTTAGATGGTCGTAGTTAAACTTTTGCTCTCAATGCAATAAATTTGTGTTTTCGGGCTGGCTTGTTGGTGTTGTCGCTATTGTTGTTGCCTCTCTCGCCGCGTCCGCCCGCTTAAATAATGTGTATACGGACACACTCACAACTGACAACTGTGTGAGTGGTAAAATTTGCCTTTTTGCCGAGCATCCGTTTGAAATTTCGTTGAGTGTCCGCCGTGACAGCCAATAGTTAGTTGTTGCAAGGCCTCCGAGCTACACACAACACACCATATCACCACAATACACACATACATACATACGTACATAACAAAGGGCAACAACAGCGTCGCATCCCCAATAAGTGGCAGCAACTGCGACGCACAACAGCAGCACCGTTTGTTGTTAATTGAAATAAATTGATATAAATTCCTCGACTGTTCTGCTCATATTGTTAATAAAGAGCAGTGCAGGCAGCGGCAGTCAGCAGCAACAAGCAGCGTAAACAAAACAGTGAAAAAATGTGGTTTTAGTACCGCGGCAGGCGTCAATATAAAGGTTTGTTTAGCGAATGCATGGCCAACAAAACACTATTACAGCCACTGAAGTTTAGTGCTAAAAATCGAGCGAATCATTGGATTTCCCCGATGTTGGTATTAGAGTGTCAAAGCGACGCTGGCTTTTATTTTTAGACGCGAGTGTGTTGCTGAAACGGTGCCCTTCAGTCGGTCCAATTGGAAGGGGCTGAACTAAAAGAGAGAGAAAGAGTGAGGGAGAGTTTGGTAGGATCTATGATTCAACTACACAAGGTGGTCTCGACAGCTTTGTTGTTGTTTAAAATTTTTAGCTCTCTCAGTCCGCTCTCAAAGAACCCAGCTTTAGGAATTGATAGCAATAGCAAGACCGTTTTCACAATAGAGCACTTTATAAACATACATACAAAAGTATGTATGTAGTTGCGTCATGGTAGGACCGAAAACCGCTTTACCTTCCATGCCACACAAAATCACTCGCACGATCGGACGGACAATAAATAAATACATACATATGTACTTTCTCGCCGAGTCAGAATTACTGGGCTTCCCAGAACGGCATTGTTTATGCCATGCGATTCTTGTTTAGCTAACAGCTACTTAAGCGAACTCGCACTTGTATACAAAGGAAGTGTATACGATTCGCATTTGTTGGCGATGGCATGGGGATCGGCCGCAGGCAGCACCCATAATCAGTTTCATGTTTGCATTGTCCCCTGCTACTGCTTATCGTCTCCCGCAGAAGTAATGGAATTTTATTCGCATTTGTGATTTGAGAAATAAATACTAGCGCGCCCCACCTAAAACCACAGGGGTCAGTGAACTTTCTACCTGCCGCTGTGTGGGGTTGGCTGCCCACCGAAACAGCCCCAACCCTTGACCAACTAGCGCCGAAATGTATGCAACAGTCGCACGACCATCAAGGCATAAAATTATATTAACGATTTTCTCACATCACTTCACTTCCTTGCAGCATCCAGCAGCATCAAACGTACAGCAGCAGAGGGCCAACACTCAACATCTTGGGCAGGAGGGACATGCGCAGTGGCACCTTTGGTAGTGGCAACAGCGGCTTGGCCAACAAACCGTAAGAGCGAAACCGAGTTAGCAGGACAACTGACTTGCAGGAGCCATTCCATTCCGCACGACATGGCCTTCTCACGGCACAACATCGAGAAGCGCCGACTCATCGAGCTAGTGCGCTTGAATCCCATCCTCTGGGATTGCCGCCTGCCCCACTACAAGCGCTCCGATAAAAAGAAGGCCATCAAGTGGAATGAGCTGGGGCGACTCTTTAACGTAAATGGTGAACGGGTGCAGCGCACCTTTACATCGCTTCGCGAGATCTTCCGTCGCGAGTTGAACCATGAGAAGATGCTGGGCACCACGCGCTTCAAGTCCAAATGGGAGTACTACGACGCAATGGGCTTCTTAAAGGAGGTCATTCGGGAGCGCAAGTAACATCACTATTAGATTTTTAGTTTAGTCATCTTTTCAACCTTAAATGCATTTATTTTATTTTCTTAAAAGAATTTATGGAATCATAGTACTAAACCAATATAGAGTATATTAATTAAAGACTTCTTAATTTTTACATTAGTACCAATTAAAAGTAACAAAGTAAATATTTACAGTTCCCTAAGTAAAATTTACCAGCGTGTTTATTTTTATTTTTTACGGTACTCATAGGGAATTAAGCCAGCAACCCATAAATTTCATAAAATTTTAGATCTATAGTTATTTAATTAATGCATTTTTTTTTAACAGTTTTTGATGATGATACAATTTTTAACATAATTTTTAAATTTTAATTTATGAAAATCTATTTATTTTTATAGTGAGTAATAGCAATCTTCTATAATTTTTTAATTTACATTCCACAAAATGTTATTCAAATCACTTAGTTTTTTGCGGCCTTTTTGATGTCATAATCTGGTTTCGTCTATATTTCCCAATAGCTTCAATATCAGTATTAGAATATATTGGAAAAGAAAATAAAATCACGCAGACCCTGAGACAGACTACACCTTAAAACCTTATCCATTTAAGATAACATAACCTGCAAAACAATTTTTTTTATTAAGAAATTATTCCTTAAAACCTTATCCATTTAAGATAAGATAACCTGCAAAACAATTTTTTTTATTAAGAAATTGTTCTTTTGAAACAATGGCATACCTAATCCTCAGGGTGTCAATAAACGTTTGTCTTAACAACAATTTCTACATTGCTCCTTTCAGATCCCGAGAGCGCATCAAACCAGGATCCTTAGATACCGCTCCCGCCTCATCGGGCAACAACAATAATATGAGTCGCAATAGCAGCAACAATAACAGCAATACCACGGCTCTGGATGAGTATCAGTACTTTGCACCTAGCGACCCCAACAACCCGAATAATCAGCCACAGTCACAGGTCTCGGTCCAAAGTCACAAGTCAACGGCAAAGAGCAACCCGACTGCTGCGAATATTCCCAAGCAGGGTCTTAGCCTCAGCCAGTTGCCCACCGCTCTTCAGCAGCAGGCTCAACACCTTCAGGCGCTTCAGCTGCAGCCGGACGTGACGCTGACCTCCATAAGCGCGCTCCAGAGCCAGAGCCAGCCTCCAGGTAGTCCCCAACGCATGATTACGCCCACGGCAACGTCTGTACATCACGCCTCGCCCGCCCAAGTATTGTCCAGCTCGCGCTCCTGCAGCTCATCGCCTTCCATTTATATTAAGGATGAACCGGGCTCCCCAGTGGGTGGAGAAAATGGGGATGCTTCCGAAAACGTTCCAGAGGTGGCTAGAAAAAAGCTAGCTACTATTCGGCCCCAGACCAAGCAACAGCTCAAGGCTCGTCTGCAGATACCCCTGTCCAAGAACTCAACGGTGTATGCAACGTCGCCGCCCCACCTGATCATCAATGCCAACAACGAACTGATCGACGCTGACGCCGGAGATCTGGACGAGGATCTAGATGACTTCGATGAAGATGAAGATGGCACTGGACACTGCTCGCCTGCAGTGGACGCAGACATGATGGGCATCGATGGCCGGCTCTCGGCTGGCAGCAGCTACACTGGAGTAGGCGCGGTCGGGGGCCGAGGACTCGGGCGCATGCATTCGCAGTCTCGCCAGGTGCCCAGTCCCAGAGAGATGCTCTACATAAAGTTCGGCGACTTTCTCTCAGCCCGACTGAACACCTTACAAGATACAGTGGCCAACGACCTGATGAACAAGATTTTGCTGCTCATCGCAGAAAAGTGAGGAAACTAGGACTGAAGCTACCTCCGCAATGATTAAATCTGCAGCGGAACTGGTGAGTGGTTTCAAATTATTCAGTAATTAATTACTAACTACAAGAAAAATATTTCTGAAAAGATGCTACTAGAGAAATGAATGAAGTTGGGTTCCAATAGGGGGAATAGATAGTGAAACATAACATTAACAGACTTCCGGAAGCTAAAGCTTGAAGGCTTAGAATGTTTAAATCATCAAAAACTGACCATACGTCATGCATTAAGCTAGTTTTCTTTGCTTTTTTCTGATTGTTTATCTGCCTGATTTAAATTGCTGATTTGATTCGTGTATTCTGCTTTACTATATTATTTATACATTTTATTCTATTTTCTAAACAAAATGAATTTTGAATTGTTTTGAACGAAAAAAGTTATGGTTTCCCAATTTTTATACCCTTGCAGGGAATTATAATTTCAGTCAGAAGTTTGCATCGCAGTGAAGGAGGCACCTCCGACCATATAAAGTATATATATTCTTGATCAGGATCAACATCCGAGTCGATCTAGCCATGTCAGTCAATTTTGTGTAAAATTTTATGAAAATCGGACTACTATATCATACAGCTCCCATAGGAACGATCGAGAAATTAATTAATTTTTAATTAATTAATTATTAATTAAAAATTATAACTTTTTTAAGTTTTCAACAGATTTTCATCAAATTTGAGGTATAGCCATTTTATATTATTATATTATATTATTATTTTTTGTCAAATTTCATGGAGATAACTTAATTTTAAGTTTAGAACAAATTGAAACGCATGCACCAAATTTATTAAAACTTGCGATAAGGCAATCCAAAAAATTTCAAAAAATGCAATTCGAACAGTTTATTATAGAAAGAAATTAAATAGTTAAAATATAATATTTAAATAATAATAGGTTAATCGTATGTGCTATTTTATCAGAACCAAAAATGATTTAAAATGAAAAGGCATATATGGCTTTGAATGCGGTAGAGGGTTAACGAAGAAAAATAACATTTTAAGTCGTTATGCTTTTATATATAATATATATAATATGTGGACTTCTGTGAGATTTCCCATAATGTATCTTAATAAAAAAATAAGTTAGTTTGATTTAGAAACACTCACATAGTCAAAAAAATGTTTCAATTTCCGGAACCTGAAATAGTGGTCCGTCTCAGGCAGAAGCTCGCAGTCTGGACCGCCCACACGGGCCATAGAAGAGAACGAAAGGACGGAAGTTTGATGATTTAAGAGCATTCCAGCCATAAACAAAATGCCTAAAGCCTACATAACACAAACTAAGCGCATTTCTCTTATCCGCAAGCGTTCTAACCACATATGTACATATGTATGTATCTGTGCGTCAGCTTTTTGCTCCCCATAAGCCCAGAAGCACATGGCCGACATGGACCACAACGAGCATACAGCCAAAAATCAAAATTAAGATACATATATGTAAGAGCGACAAAGCTTTGGGTTTGAACTAGCTTCCGTAATTTCTTTTAGTTACTTTTTCCTGAAGACAATTCGATTGCAAAAGTAAGCTCTTGACTCATTTATAAAACTTATTTTATATTGCATATTTTATACCGCTGCTTATGCAAGAGCCTCTATCGACTTTTGTTTTTTATGTTGACTATGCAGAATCAACAGCCTAGTTGATCTAGCAAACTATATTCTCTCATTTTTAAAGCTACATATCTGAATAAAACTGTGCAGTTTGTCTCCTTTATACTCCACTCGTATATAAGTCGGAAGTAGGAACGATCGGAAAATTTGTAAAATAAAAATTATAGCTTATTAAGTTTTCTACATATTATTATATAATTGAGTCATTTGTATTATTCCAGAATTTCGGTTTTAATTTTATGAAAATTGAACGACTGTATCATGTGGCTGCCATATAAGCGATCGTTAAATGAAGAGGAAAATGCAAACACTGTGAATGTAAACTGTAAATATAGTATGTATCGGTGAATATGATGAAAGTAGGCATTTCTTCCTTTTTTATAAGATCAATACATATAGATATATATATAATTTATATAATATTATATTTATTAGTATTGATCAAATTGCGTTCTGCAAGGGTACACAAAATTCTTCGTGCCGTAGTAAGAATTCTTTCTTTTTTACCATTTAAATAATTTTGTTTTTATCTATATTTTAATTTCCCAAAACAAAAATCTGAAAGACATTCATATATGTTTGTAGATATTGTGTTGGATAATCGGTGGTGCTTTTAATATTCTCTATGATTTGGGCCAATTTGGATTATATGTTGAATAAATCAATTGGAACGTAATGTCATGTAAATATTTAATATTAAGGTCTACCTGTACGAGATGAATTTTCCTGCAAAGCACTCTGAAAGCATCTAGGCAAAGGATTGAAATTGTTATATTTGCGAGAATAGTTCATAAATAACACGAAGCTGCACCTCTACTTAGGCTTACTTCAAACGAATTAAGATTATTAAAATTCAAATGGCAATGAATACCGCCTACCTCTAAAATTATGAATCAATTGGGTTATAAAAACCGTATAAATCTGGGAGTTGATATACAAATGTTCTTATTACCACAGGAGGGTCTGCTTTGAAAATTATCTAGCTGTGTAGGCACGTGATTCTGGGAAAACTGAAGGATCAGCGCCAAAATGAATCGGTATCGCTTCTGCATCTGTATACGTATTTGAATGTAACTAGAATCTGGAATCTGTGCGAATGGGTTCACACTCGCCACTCCAAAGCGTCGCCATGGGGCTTGTACATTTACAATTTTGTAATATTTATGCAGGCGACGCCTCTGGTGTGTGCTCGTTGCATGGTATCCTCATACCAATGCCCAAAACATTCTCCATTAAAATCCCTATTCCTACTTTTATCTATGGCTTGGCCAAGTTGCTTTACGAGTGTTTCGGTAGTCTGTCATGGGCGGTAGGTGGTAGGTGGCGGGACCCCGGCATCTGCTCACACTGGGGTGGGCAGCCCCCGACCTTTTATGGATAGTTACAGCAAGTTTGTTGGCACTTACAACATTATAAATTTGCCATAAATTATCGTTTTATGGATGCAGCTGATGACACGATGGACTACATAGATACTTTGATGCGAAATGTGCATTAAACGGGCCACCACAGTTGCGGATATCAGACAGCGAGCTGCAAAAATAAAGAAAAAAATGGTGCTGTCAGTTATAAGGCCCCATAAATTTAATAAAAGGTCCTGCGGAACTTTGAGTAACATTTTATAGAGGCAAAATTTGCTTTGCTTAAAAAACGGTTTGGTCTTAAAAAAAAAAAACCAAAAATTGAGTTTCAAGGCTAGGTACTTTGTAGTTTAGTACCGAAAACGTGACTAGTTATTATTTATTTAATTTATTATAAATAAATTTAGTTAAATTATTAATAGTCACAAAATTTGATATTGGAATTATTTTAAGCTGGAGGTATCATCTTTCCTTTAATCTCCTCTTTTATATCCTTGCAGGTTATTGTAATTTTGACCAGTTTGCAACGCAGTGGATAAGTCATTTCCGATTTAATAAAGTATATATATATATCTTTAATCAGCATTAATCAGCATAACGGCCAAAGGAGGTGTAAAACTGATAATGTAAATTGAAAACAACAAAGATAATATGTATGCAATGAAATTCGACATAACTTCATTATTATTCAACATATACGCATTAACTCTAACATATACCTATTTTTTACGAAATGTAAATATTTTTATTTATCTCATACCCTTCCATTGAAATGATCGGTTAATTTATATAAAATCTTTGGAAAATAAGCAAAAATTCTTGGCTTCAACTTATAACATTTTGGATCTAATATATCGAGGAAGCGAATTTTTTTAGATATTTCTTTTACACCAATCCTTAAAATTATTAAAAAGAAAAACCAATGGTAAAGTTTTTTAACTTAAAATGTTCAATATACATACATATATAAAATAGTTTCAGTTATCTGCAAAGCCTATTTGCTTCAGACAAGGTATGCATATGGAAAAGGTAGACTACATCTGGATATTTGGATATCTATTAAACGAAGTATTAGATTGTAAGATTGGGATGATGAGGTGTCATTTGACGCTAGCTAAAATACAACATAAATATAAAAAACAAGAAAGGAAGCTAACTTCGGCACACCGAAGTTTATATTCCCTTGCAGATTAAACTTCGATGACTAAGAATCCATACCATATAAATTATATATATTGATGTTAAAAAAGATGAAGTAATACCTGAATATATATACTTTATATGGTCGGAGGTGCCTTCTTCACTGCGTTGCAAACTTCTGACTGAAATTATAATACCCTGCAAGGGTATAAAAAAACTTTGAGCACCACACTTGTGGTTCTTATTGTCATTATGTGGACTTCCGTCCACAGTTACAAATTTTTGTATGGTAACCTGGGAAACCAGTAGAAGTTTGGTATATACAAACTCTGCAATCGCTAAGTTAGCGACTCTCGAATGGATCCGCATAGCCTGAGCTAGTCGACTTACAGCTAACCTGCCAGATGTCGCAAAGACTTTAACCACTTGCCCGCTTGCCTATCGTTTTTCCGCTGAAAAATCAATTCCCTGTTGGTTACAATGTTGGAGGATGCTGATGAACGCATTCCATGCGATCTGAAGCTTCCGGTGCGGAGTCTCTCAGTAAATGGGGCAAGTTTTCAATGGCTGCACTAGAGAGCATGGCATACCCTGCGGCGCGCAGACACATAAAATGCATATATGGATGATGCAAGTTAATGTTTACAATAGTCGTAAAAGTTTAATGGATTTTGCGAGCTACTACGGCGGCTTAGAATCGTAACTTTCGAAATCCGTTTTTTTTGGAAGACTGCGCCGCAATGTATGGCGTGAGGGGAGTGAGTTTACGTACATATGCATATTGTACGTACTATGTGGTTGGAAGTTGATGGGGTGGTATGTTGACTTCGCTCCGCGTTAGCCCAAATTGTTTGTAGAATAAAAACGCGCTTGTTTGATTAATATGCAGCCAATTTTCTCATGACTTGTTTGTGGTATTTT